AACAGGAAACAGAGAGGTGGGACTAAACAGGGTATAAAAGCCTAGCAAGCCCCTTCCCTCAGCCCTTCTCTTCTTCTCCACCAACATTGAAGCATGCGATCATCTTTTCTGTTCAGGACTCAAGCCATGGGTCCTGTCCACCAATAAACCATCTTTCCAAGCAGCCTCCATGTCTCCAGTGTCTTTTTCCCCACTTGGAGCCGAACCCAAAAGGACATTTCTTTCAACAGAAGGAAGGAAGGAATGCAGGGAGGGAGATAAAAAGGAGGGGAGGAAGAAGGGAACGGGGAGGGGGAAAGGAAGGGAGGGAGGGAGATAAAAGGAAGAGAAGGGGGAGGGGAGGAGGAAGGGAGGAAGAACTATTGGCATTCCTGTTTACCTCCTGCCAATCAAGCCCAGCATGCCCTATCACATCCACAAGGTCAAACTGCACCATACAGGGTGGGTCACAGATGCCCCCCTCGATTTGGGGAATTCCAGCCGGTCAGAGCTGGGGGGGGGGAAGACGCCCCAACCAGCATTCCTGGCAGCGTGGCAGGAAATGCTGGTTGATTTGAGGACAGCTTCCTCAGTCCCAGTGAAGAGAAACCACCCACCATGTTTAATGCATGTGCTTTTTTGGGGAGGGGGGGGAGGCGCACACCGAAAGTGGACCAGCAAGATTAAAAACTGCCCCTGCAGCCTGAAAACTAAAAATAAATAAATAAATAAAATAAAATAAAAAGAAGATTTAATGGATTTGTATGCTGCCCAATCCCGAAGGACTCCGGGCGGCTTACATAAAAACAAGTTAAAAATATTAAAAAGGTTTAAAATACAAAGGCAACAGTTAAAAGAACACAATATGCACTCAATCTTAGTGGGGCTGGAACTCAATTAACAGCCCCAGGCCTGCCGGAACAGCCAGGTCTTAATAGACTTCCGGAAGGCCGAGAGAGTGGGGAGGGTCCGGATCTCAGGGGGTAGATCGTTCCACGAAGGAAGTGGCTGCCCCCCCTGGCTCATTCTGGGATGGAAGGCGAGGGGAAATCCCTCCCCCCCCCCGGACCCTTAAAATGGGAACTCTGCAGCTTCTGCTGGAAGGGAGCAAGAGAATTGTCCACTGCCGGTTTTCCTGGCGGTCAGTGTGGGCTCTGGAAGGGTGCGTGGCGCACTTTCCTGCCTGACCAGTTTGTGGTGTCAGCGGTATGAAAAGAAACAGAACCTGAAACCACGAGAAAAGCCAAGTTCCAGTTTTGGTCAAGCTGCAGGAACTGGCTCACCCCCTCCCACATCTGTCAGCCTGAGAAGGAAGCTGGAGAAATACCGGTGTCCTTTCCACCTGTTATCCGTCTCCTTCCCAAACAGCACCTGCAACACACTGCATTAGGAAAGACCCATGGACCCTCCCCAACCTAGACCAGCCCTCCGGGGTCCTCTATCCGAGGCAGACCCCCAGTTTCTTCTGCATTCTGGTAAAAAAAAAAAAAACGCCAAACCTCACCTTGTCCTCATTAGCCCTCTTCTCCGTTCCTCTCAGTTGCATCTCCAGTCCTGCGCCTGGCCTTTTTCCAGGGGCTCCTGGCTGGCTGAGCCCCCCTACTCCCCTATCAGCCTTTGCTTGTGACTGGGCTGAATTTATGGCCGGCCAGAAGATTTCTATTCTGCTTAGGACAAGAGATATTTATCTGTCAGGCAACTCCGGCTGTTAACGGATAGGAGCTGTTATCTGTTATCCTGCAGAGGAACCTTAATATTATAATCGAGTGTGTTTGTGTCTGTGTGTGTGTTTTTGCCTTAGCAGCCAGGGAGAGGAAAAGGGGGCAGGGGGGGAATGAACAGGAAGATCTATGGGTCTGCAGAGCAGTGCTGACGTTTGGGGATAATCCAGGACAGCTGGCGGGGAAGAATCCACATTAACCAAAATGCATTACCAGCAGGACGCCATGTCCTAACGAAGAAACCAGAAGGGAACGGAATGGAAAGTCGTTAAAACAAGTGCTTTTTATCCTCGTAATGATTATGGGCTGGGCTACAGCTCCCAAAATAGAAGTGGTGTGGGGAGGAGGGACACACTTTCTGCCAGTTAGATCTCACACTTGCTGGCTCTACCATTTAACTTAGCCCAATGTTTCTTAGCCGCTTGGAAAGGGGTGGACTTCAATTCCCAGAATTCCCCAGCCAGCTTTTAGTCCACTGTTTCTCAACCTTGGCGACTTTAAGTCCTGTGGACTTCAACTCCCAGAATCCCCCAGCCAGCACAGCTGTGCTGGCTGGGGGATTCTGGGAG